CGCGGACGAATTTCTTGTGTAGGTCCGGCCGTCAGGTTTTGTCAATTCCAAGGGAAGGTTCCGAAACGGATCGACTTCATCTGCCACGGTAGATGTAGTAGGTAAGAGCCGCGGGAGCCGCGTGGGCACTGGGTATCCTGGGAGCCGCGGGAGCCGCGTGGGCACTGGGTATCCTGGGAGCCGCGGGAGCCGCGTGGGCACTGGGTATCCTGGGAGCCGCGGGGGAATTCTGGGTTCGCTGGGGAGCCGCGGAGCCAAAAAGGTTGGGAACCGCTGCTCTAACGCTATTCATTTGACTCCTCAGGCTTCGTCTTCTCTCTCGGGCTGCGCTCCCTTGAACACTCTGGCGATGACGTACAGCGTGCCACACGTTAGAGCCCCGTAGAAAAGGAAGGCTTTGCGCTCTTTGTCCAGTACATCGGTGGGGTAAACGATTGCCCGCGCGACAATGAATGCACTCGCGAACGTACCCCAGTTATTCTGCAGTGCACGTCTCGCTGGTTCGACCAATTTGCGTAAAATTGGAATCGGTGTCGCTTGGACAACTGAAAATCAACGACTCGTCTGTCTGCGAGCGGGTGTAATGTCTCGGGTGTGAGATCTCTTGCATCGTCGCATGCCGCCTCATAACGCTAGAGGGCGTAGAGTCAGGCGAACATTCCTATCCCCCCTATCCCCCCTATCCCCCCTATCCCCCTCCCCCCCTATATATAAAAGGCTAATCTCCGTCCGTCAGGAGATGGATTTCGTTTTGGGAAGCTGTCTGTTCGCACTTCTGCCGCCGTACTTAAAGACGCTGAAGTTGGTAGATAACTCAGTTCAGACCGATGTGGCCTCCTAAGGGTTCAATTTCCCCGAAAACCGTCCGGAGAAGACTTTTCGTTATTACTCAGGAAACGAAGAGACACTAAAATAAAATTCCCAAACTCCTAATGTCTCGAACTCCTCACGATCCTGCATTCGATGACTAATAGCTCGAAGAAGCAGATACTTACTCATCACATTTGCATGCTTCGCGCTCACTTCTGCCGTATTCTACATTGAGTAGCAATCTACGCGCGTAGACTTCCACAGTCTTTCCGTTTGACATCAATCAAGCACCATCCGTTTCCATGCCTCCGGTACGAAACGCCGCGTCGTTCGCCTCAAGGAGCGGTCGACAACGACTAGCTCAAGCAAGGCAACGAGTGCGCCGTAATAGAGAGCAATTGACTCAGGAGCAAGCTGTAGCAGCTCAAACTCTGGATGCTTTACGGCGTAGGCAAGCTAGAGCCACCGTGAGACAGGTGCAAGTCGAACAGCAGTGCTCTTCCGATGGCGGAGCACCAAGGGTCACCCGAACAAGGCGCACGGTTGGTCTCCCTGCCGATTCACAGATACCCTCAACAGCGGCACGAGAGATTTGCAGCGACTCCGACACCTCGAGTGAGCTCTCCGTGAACGGTGCGCGTCGAAGAACAGCGAGAGCACAACAAAGTGCACTGGCAGCCGAGATTTCGCGCGCCACCAACGCGGCACAGCACCGCCGGGCGCACGCACATCGCACCGCAGAACGCCGTCGGACGACGACCGGGATCGCTCGATGCATCGAGCACCGGCCCTCGGCCCCTCACACTCTCGGCACCATGGATAACATCTGCCAGGGATGTCAGGCTATCCACTTCAGTGATGAAAAAACAAAAGCGGGCCAAACGGCTTACCAAATGTGTTGCGCCGCCAACAGAGTGAAACTACAAACCTTCCATTCTTTTCCGCAAGCCTTGATCGATCTCTACACAGATCAGAGCTCCACATCGCACAGCTTCAGGCAAAACATAAGGAATTATAATAGTGGTTTGGCTATGGCTTCAATGGTGGCGAAAATTGAACCCCCTCGAGGGAGCGGCCCCTATTGTTTCCGTGTACACGGACAAGTGTACCACACTATCGGGGGACTTCGTCCGCAGGAAGGCCAGGTGCCTCACTGCGCACAAGTCCTCATAATGGACACCGAGGAGGCTGCGAGAGAATTGACTGCCCGCCCCGTCAACCGCAGCTGCCAGCAGTCTATATTCCACACTCTCCACAATATCCTGAACGAGAACAATCCATATGTGAAGTCTTTCAAACTCATGGCTCAGGTAGCTGATGATGAAGGTCAACGAGCGCGAAACGACGGCCGTCTCCCGAGACCGGTGAGGATGGTTTTCGACCAAGATTCTGCGGACGACCAGCGTCGGTACAACGCTGCGACCGCTAATGAAGTTGCGATCGTATACGTGGGGGACGACGACAACATTCCTGGAGAGCGGCTCTTAGTGGTGCACGAGAACAGTGGAACACTGAAAACTCTAAGCTATCTGCATCAGCTTTGTGATCCACTAACTTATCCGCTTTTGTTTCCGAATGGCGGGGAGGGTTGGCACCCGAAATTGGAACGTCTGAACCCAACATCAGACCGTCGAACTAGAATTACTCAAAAAGAGTATTACTCATTTTTGCTCTTCGCTCGAGACCACCAATTCAATCCTCTCCACCACGCTGGCAAACTAAGCCAACAGTTCATCGTAGACAGTTGGCTGAAGATTGAGATGAACAGACTTAACTTCATTCGCCGCAATCAACAACTACTAAGACTCGACACTGTTCGTGGACTTCAAGATCACATGTTGAGCGACAATGATGCGGGACCACCGGGTCGGCAAGTCATCCTTGCAACCACTTTCTCTGGAGGTCCCAGATATATGATAGCTCAATATCAAGACGCAATGAGCATTGTATCGAAGTAGGGAAAACCAGACTTATTCATCACCTTCACCTGCAATCCCTCTTGGCCAGAGATAACTACTCATCTCGAAACAGGCCAGACTGCATCCGACCGACCAGACTTGGTAGCGCGCATATTTCATTTGAAGGTCAAAGCATTCTGCAATGAAGTCCTCAAGAAGCAAGTGCTCGGGGAGGTGGCCGCCTACATCCACGTCATCGAATTTCAGAAGCGAGGTCTACCTCATATGCACATGCTTCTCACTCTGAAGGCCGAATCGAAGATAACCACAGCTGCCGATGTCGACTGTATCATCAGCGCCGAGCTACCCGATCCCGTAACGGAGTCTTCTCTCCACATGATCGTCTCCAAATCAATGATACATCGTCCCTGCGGAGTTTACGACCCCAACTCTCCATGCATGAAACAGGGTCACTGTTCAAAACGCTACCCAAAATCTTTTCGGAGCGAAACTTCACTCTCTGGAGACGGTTACCCCGAGTATCGTCGTCGTGAAGATGGGCGAACCATAACTTGCCGGGGTCTTGATGTTGACAATCGGTCGGTGGTTCCTTATTGTCCCTATCTGACTTTGCTTTTTAACGCTCATATCAACGTTGAGGTCTGCGCTCTCATCCACGCTGTAAAATATTTGTATAAATATGTTTACAAGGGAGCCGATAGGGCCAGACTCCGGATTCATCAAGAGCCTGACTCCCCCGACCCACAAGATCGTGACGAGATCAACTCTTATTGGGACACTCGATACGTATGCGCCCCAGAAGCAGCATACAGGATTTTTGGCTTCAACATGACCGATCGCAGTGACACCGTGATTCGACTCCAAGTCCATCTCCCTGGCTTTGAAACCGTTTGCTTCCAAGAAGGCTCCGAAGACAGTGCACTGCAAGCCGCCGAGCATCGTTTCTCAACGCTCACTGCTTTCTTTGATATGAATCAAAGGTGCTGCGATGTTGAACTCCGTTCGGGTTCATTTCCTGAAGACATGACAGATTCCAGGAAACTCCGCTACCATGAAATGCCGGAAAAATACACATTCAAGAAGCGATGGCATGAGCGACAACGCGGCGGCAATAGAAGCATAGGACGCATGTACTTTGTGAGTCCCCATGATCACGAGCGCTATGCCTTACGCCTTTTACTACTTCACGGCAAAGGTTTCACATCCTTCGAAGACGTTCGCACGGTCGACTCAAACACATACCCCAATTTCGTTGAGGCCGCTAGGGCCGCAGGATTCCTAAAGGATGACGGATATTTCCGCGACGCCTTACTTGAAGCATCAGTCTTACGTATGCCGAGCCAATTCCGAAGCTTCTTCGTCGCTCTGATTGTGTTCGGTGATCTGAAACCTCCCGTCCCCGAGCATCTGTGGCTCGAGTTCAAGCTAGATTTCATGGAGGATTTCATGCACGCTGGATATCCCGACGCAGTAGCCGAATCAAAAGCCTTCCACGACATCGCTCAAAGACTTTCCGATCTCGGCCACGATTTTCACATGCTCCTTCCCCTTGATATCCCCGATTTCGAAGATATCGCTACCGAAATCGACTGTGACCAACATCGCTCCATGGGATTTGCTCATGTACGCGCAACTAAATCTCGAACAGAAGCATATAGTTGACGAAGTTCTACGTGCTCCGGACCAACCCCAGGATCACTCTTACTATTTCATTGATGGTCCCGGTGGCAGTGGGAAAACGTTCGTGTATACGACCATATTCCACCTTGCCGTTTCTAGAGGTCTGAGAGTTATCAACGTTGCTTGGACGGGCATCGCCGCAAACTTGCTCCCAGACGGTCGCACGGTCACTTCGACTTTCCGTTTGATTGTTCAAGACAACAGTCGCAGTTCATCCATGAAGAATCAGTCCAAAGAAGCTGCCAAATTACGAGCAACTGATATCATCATATGGGACGAGGCTCCCATGGCGCCGAAAACTGCTTTGGAAACTGTTGACCGACTTCTACGAGATATAATGCAGAACGACGCACCTTTTGGAGGGAAAATCATGCTCCTCGGCGGCGATTTCAGACAAATCCTCCCAGTCGTGGAGAAAGGTACCCGCGGCCAAATCGTTGAAGCCTGCCTCAAGTGCTCGCCTCTTT